CCACCACACATACTGGAACAGTGGCTGCTAGTAGAGTTTTGCTTTGGTTTTTGCTACTTAGAGGTCAAAGCTACAGTTGTGTGTCACACTGAAATCTTGTTTGTTGCTTGCTGTGAACAACTCAGTTTTAGGGTTCTGACAAAGTGTCTTGACGCCATTTAATTCTCCATTTTCCAATGAGGAGAAGGAAAGCCTTGCAAAACCTTCAGCGGTTTTATGTTAGGAGATGAATATCAAAATAGAGTAACATAAGGAAAAGGACAGTCATATGCGATACATGTCATCATTGAAATCAGTATTCTTGTTTGTAAGACCTTTTCCCAATCTTCTGAATGGCATAGATGCATGTGACACTGTTGGACAAGTGTCACAAGAGAGATCACAAGAGAGACAGTCAGTGACATGAGTAGAAATCTGAAATCCTGGGCTGGAGAAATGGTCTAGCAGTTAAGTTAGAACTTGTTGTTCTAGCAGAAGATCCAGGTTCCGTTCCTAGCACCCACGTGGTAGCTCACAGTCATGCAGAACTCCAGCCACTGGGGATCCCATAGTCTCTTATGAAGTCCTTAGATACAAGGTATGCATATGGTACCTATACATACATGCAGGCAAAATACTCACCCATATTAAAAATTAAATACTTTAAAATTTTTTTAAACTAAATCTGATTTCTCATACTTGGGGTACACCTAATCTGACCCAGATGTGATACTTGGCATCATTGGGCTGTCTTTGTAACAGTAAATGGATAGTCTTGCAAGTTCATCAAGAGAAATGTAACCAAAGGCCAGTGGCTGCCATTTCCTGTACCTGTCTTAGATTAATTGGTTCCAGTTACATTTTATAGACATGTGCAGAGCAGCAAACATCTGAGTCACCTACAAAGCCATCTCTGGCAGAGGTGGAACAAAGTACAACGCCCAGCTATCTTCTTTCAATTCCCACACTTCAAATGACTGTTCTTTGACTTCTTTCTGCAATCAACATAGTGCCATTCTTCCCGAATCACTAGACCAGAAGAAACATGGAGAAGACCAGCCAGTGGGTGGTGGTGTTTTTCACCTTAGTAGGGGTCCCATGGCTTCAGACACAGAAAGTGAAAGCCAGGGGGACCTGGTCACTACCTATGTGCACCAAATGGATTAAACATGTGATACATAAGTCTGGGTGCTGCTGCAACATGAGGCAGGGGATGGAGACAGTTCAACTGCTTCATGTAGAGGGTTCTCAAGAGGGGCAACAGAATGTAATGGTAGGGGACTAGATAGTATTTCCTGGTCTCTAAAGGTTGTGGATTTATTTTCAAAACCCTATGAAAAACATTCTTCTTTTTCTTTTGTATTAAGCACACATGAAAGTACACACACACACACACACACACACACACACACACACACACAGGATAATGCTCACTTCTGCACTGTTCTGTCTATAGGGAAATTAAATAGTTTTATCTTGTAAAATTTTTACTTAATTTATTATTTATACATGTTACATAGTATGTCTGCATGTTTTGTCTTGGCACGTGTGTGAGTATACATGGATATGCAATCATATATGAGCAAAAGACAATGGTTATCCATGGTTTCCATTCCCCAGAGCCTCTTGCTAGGACAAGGGGGCTCTCTGTTTTGTCTACATTGTCTGACCTTCAGGCCTCAGGTGCCCACCTGTGCCTACCTCCCCAGCACTGGGATAATGTGTGCATACCATCACTCCTGGCTTTCAACATTGATGCAGGGGATCAAACTCATGTCCCCAGGCTTACATGGCAAGTACTTTACCAACTGAACTATCTCCCCAGATATTTGGAGAAAATAAAAACCAATATAATACATAGATAGTAGTTACAGACTGGAACACTGGTATCATCCATAGACAGTAGTTACAGACGGAGAGACACAGAAGAGTTACCTGGCACTTCTGTATCTGTATGAAGCCATCTTGAATGTGGTCAGGGTGGGGTCATTGTTCAGAAGTTCATCTGAACATTAAGGCTTTTTCTATTTCTCAGTTTACCTTGTCATTGAGATACACTATACCTTACCTATGAATCAAATGCAAATAGAAGTAAACTAAACTTTCTGGAAAGATTTTTTTATTATTCAGATGGGAAAAGAAGGCTATTTGACAAGAGACATGAATCAGTAGGGATGAGCACCAAGACTGCACAATCAGTGAGGATGGCTGAATCTAGATCCGACCCCACTAGAACATCAGCAAAGAAGGGAAGTCTGTCAGAGCCCACACATGATGCACACAATGAAGACATTATTGTTCTTTCTTTGTCCATGGAGAAGTTAGCAATGGCCTTCATGAAGAAATTGAATTTTCCCATTACTCCTCCTGAGGAAAGATGATTAACAAGACTCAACAAAATCAGGAACATAAAAGTTGAAAGGAAGTTTAAAAACTATGAAATAGCAGTGGAACCTATTTTGTGGATAAGAACAAGACTGTGGAGTAGAACCTATTTCCAGAAAGGAAGACTGAGTTCCAGAACATCATGCTGTTTCAAGAGAGGAGAGGTTCACTGCTTCAATGATAACTATCCCAATCTTCTACTTCTATTGGAAGAATAAATTAGACTCCACAAATGGAGTTGAGGTAGCCTGTCTCTGTTTTTCTTGGTCAGGAGGACAATGATGGAGCTGGATACTGCAATACTGAGGAAAACTTCCATCATTTCTCTCTCTCAGGGGCTCCTGGCCTTGATTATGCCTAGTTTCTTGGTCTAGGGCTGCATATGCATCTGTGCTAAAGAATACTTCCTTCCATGAAAGGAAACTTCCCAAACAGAAATGTGTGTGTGCACATATTCTATGGGTTCAGGCTCAACTTGTTATTCTAACTTGCTAAGATAACAGCAAAGGTGAGAACACAGGACGTAAGTGTCCCAATGCTGGTGGCTATAAGATAATTAGCAATGATAAAAAGTGAATTAGATATAAGATAGTAAATTAAGTTTCATCTTATACTTTAAAAGGGTGATATCTACCTAATTACTATTCTTCCAAATACTGTGCAGGCCAAACAAAATACCTAAAGAAAGCATGTTCATGGACTTTTGATTCAGTAATAACAGCCTGTATCCTTTATTTTAGAAAAAAGGCAAACCAATTTTAGAAAAAAGGAACCCCAATCCTTTTCATTGCCTATTATCCTTTAAAACTACTAATACTTACTTAGAGCCTATAGCGATTTGAGAATAAAGCCCAGATGCATTAAAGTTATTTAGTACCTTAGAAACCATGTACAATAATAGATTCCAGCTCTCCAATTATTTAGGAACCTTTCTTCAAATAGGAACTATGGCAAAATGTACTGACTTTTTAAAATGGTGAAACTTCAACTTTGGTTTGGGGCCCACTCCAAATGGCCACTTTCACCCATTTGGTGACTCCTGACTTGACTCTAGGTTACAAAATATGAGTTTGAAAACTCATGACTTCCTAGAGTTACAATAATTAGAGATATGTGGTGGGATAGGAGCAGTTCAAGTTGGCAGAATAGCTGGCCCACCCATAGTCTGATTCAGCTACAATTGGCTTTTTCTTCTTGCCCTCTATTCTGCAAGGAAATGTGTAGACTATAAAGAGTTAAGAGGGATCTTGGGAAGGGAAAGGATTTGAGTAGGGAGCATCCCAGATAAACTCTTTGTATTTGATACTCACAAGATCTCTGTACACAACTTGCATTTATTCCCATAGGTGATATAGTCTGAACCACAAACTGGTGTGTTTTCAATGGGGCAGGGGATAGCTACCACTGGGTACTTCTTGTATATGTCCCAGTCCACCTGGTTAGACACAAGAAAATGTCCTGGTTTTCTCAAATACCTCAAGTATAACTATCTTGGATCAACTAGAAAGGCTACAAGAGGTGAAGTTGCTCTCATCTCAAGTATTCTGATGCTGTTGAAGCAATATTTTATACATTGTGACTCCACCATCATGATAAATACCAGTAGTCCCAGAACCCTTCCTTCTTTCAAATGCCACACTTGATGAGCAATCGCTGAGCATTTCTGTACCAGACAATTAACTTTAGTGTGACATGATTTCCCACTATTTAATATTTAGGACACTTGAATAAGAGAAGATCTACTATCATGCCTATTTACAAATGGGGAAAACATTTCTCCATCTGTGTTTATCTCCTCTGTTGATTTCTCTAAACATTTGACATGAGCTATGTATATTTGTTGACTAAGTAATAGCCAATATAAATTGAAATTAAAATTTTGTTTAGCATACTTACTGTTGGTGAAGGGTGAGTGGTAACTTCTGGAAGACAAATACAATGGAAATATTAAAAATAAAGCAAACCTGGAACTTTCATTAATCAATGTTGTCTTATCTTTCAGCCAAAGACTTTTCATTTCTTTTGGCATTGAATCTCAGTGTATACTCCATCATTATGGAAAATCACAGGTGTTTGTTTAGGAACTTGAATGGCCAATAGGTAAGCTCTTGAATCAGGAAGGCAAATTTATTTGTTCTTTCTGAAGCTTATGTGTACTTAATAAAGTCAATTGCTGCTGAATCCTTATCACTGATACACTTTCTTTATTAATCAACATAAACAAATGTAAAGGGCCACATGTGGGGGTGCACACATTTAATCAAAGTACACTGGAGGCAAAAGCAGGCAGATCTCTGCACGTCCAAGAACAGCCTGGTCTCCATAGCAAGTTCCAGTCCAGCTAGGACCACATAGTAAAATCCTGTCTCAAATCAGCAAACAGAAAAGTGAATGAATGTCTTTAACATGTTAGAAACGTATTTTAACTAAACCTCTTTTCACAATTTAAAAGCTGAATTAGTAATTTGAGCCTTCTGGAGGAGTATGGTTTATTTCCATCCTCCTATATGGATCTATGAAGACACCTAAGGACTCTCTATCTCTGCACTGGGGAGTAGCCATCAACTGGTCCAGGGGCAAATATCCTTATGTAACAGACTTTGTAAAGGAATTAGGACCCTTTTGTTCATGAGTGTCAAGTAAGAATCCACTCAAGGGAAGGCACTAAATCCCACTCCCTCAAAGTAAAGCTAGAATCATGATCCTTCTCCCCAGCCAGAACTCTTCCTCACTTTAAATCCACTTGATCAGATATTTATGTCCTAGAATCTAGGAGAAAATGTTTGTAAAAAAGAAAAATCCTTCATGACTACATGTGACCTGTGTAACCCAACTTACCTGAGCTGTTGCAGAAATAGGTTGCTGTGAAGAGCAGAAGGAGGCCCCCAATGAGCTTCATGGTGCAGAGGGATGAGATGAGGATGTTAGTGTTGTGAGAATGGCTTGAAGCTGAATGTTCTGTGCACTAGGAGTTTGGTCATATTTATATGGAAAGCTTTGGTTTCTCCACCTCTCCTGTGAGATCATCCAAAGTCAGTGTTGGGCCCAAGAAGCTCTCAAAGCACGTCACACCCTGAGTGGTGCTGTAGCACCTGTCAGTTAATTACTGCTTCCCTTCTCACTAACAGGGAGGTGATTTGAGGTGAAGAGTATTTTTTTTCTGTCTGTTGCATAAGTGAGGACTGTTAACTTACACTAAGCTTCTCGAAGAAGAGATTAAGCACAAGTTTCCTGTCTTAGCTATGAAACAAAAAGAAATTACCAGCTCAGTTTATTTTACTTGAATGGAAGGTATTAAACACAGGCAAGCCATGGGATACCTACATTCAGGTTTGGTTAGGTTCCTGAGAAAATAGTTTTCTTTTGAAAGCAGTGAAGCCATTAAGCATGGTAGGGTCTGGCAAACATGGCAACAGCTTTGACATTTATGAGACTTGGAGAAAGTTGTTGGTCTTTCCTAGCTATGAAACCTTGGACAAGTCATTGATGAAGCTGTGAACTTTTACCAGTCAGGAAAGCACAGTCATGTGATAGTTGTAATTTTAAGATTTCTATAACTTAAATCTGGTACCTGTATGAATGTGTGGTCAGGTGATGCTGCTGCAAGGCTATCACTCCAGCTACCAAATGGGCAGAGTAGTCACTGTTTAGTATAGGGTTGTCAAGTGAGGTGAAGTAATATCCTGAAGGACATCCCTTTCCATCAATGAAATAAATATTCGATCCCAGAAGCGATAACCCTTTTCTGTCACATAGCTATTGGTCTCATGATCTTTTCCAGCTGTAGAGTATATGGAATTATTATGGTCACTCTTAGCTTGTCCCCTGAAGGTCAACATGAGAATGACTACAAGTAGTTGACAAACAGCAGAGTGGACTCCCTCAGAGCCTGAGTGCCATCCCAGTCCCATTAGTCACAACCGAGCTAAATGCCATTAACATGAAAGTGTGCTCAAAAGCTGAGTGTGTTTGAATACATACTTGAGATTGTTAATATGAGGAGACAGGAGTCAGTACTTGGATTGCTGGTAATTAAACTGTAAACTGTGTTGTTCAACAACAGTTTTCCAAGTGCCTGCTATTTGTTTGCAAAATGCAAGGACATGAATGAAAACCTGGAAGACTGCAGGATATAGAGCTCATTGCTTAATAAGCATAATTTTATATGTTCTGAAACACCTCATATGCAAATGATATTAAACAACTTAAAATAACATTGCATCACCTTAAAATTTAGACTTTTACATATTTGTGGGGGCCAATATAGCCTTGTTAAAAAACCACCATTGTACAACATGGATCTCATTTGTATTATTCATCTAAAAGCCACTGAATATGTTAGTTAAAATCAAGAGACAGTAATTCTTCATCTCTGAAACACAACTAATGTTTACTCCATGGGATGTTTTGGAATGTTAAATGAACACATATGCACACATGAAGGAAGAGGGAGGTGCAGGTAGCATGTCATGACAATTTTATTGTATAAAAATCACAAAATATAATTATATACACACTCAAGATAACATATATATGTACACACCATCTATATGTATGTATATGTACATGTAGACATATAATCAAAGTGCGTGTATATTATAGTTAATTTCTTCTAGGACCATTTGAATAAGATAGCATGAGATTAAATAAAGCATAGAATATATAATACAAGTAGGATCCATAGTAAACCTGAGGTATATAAAGCTGTACCTGAAATAACGCAGTAATATACTGTTTTATAGTAAACTTTCTTCTCATGTAAGTAGGAATAGGTACTAAAATAATATAAAGTATATAATAGAACATATGCTAATTATTTAGCACCATTTATTATTGGGTATTGTGTATGTGTATTTTATGCAATGTACTTTTATAAGACCAGCAGTGCAGTTGAGCTGAATGCATTTTGTCATTACAAATAGTCTCACCACTATGAAATACAACCTATATGCTCCCCAGTGGGTACATATTAGTTACAATGGCTAAAAACGTGATGGGGATTTTGTTTCAACCTCACTAGAATCTTCTGGGACTATCATTCTATGTGCAGCATGTTGTTGACTAAACCATCAGTATCTAAAAGATGACTGTGTTTATTTTGTGTGTGTGTGTGTGTGTGTGTGTGTGTGTGTGTGTGTGTGTGTGTGTGTGTGCTGTATCAAGTGCTTTTTATTGATACTCCTGTTGTGGAATGCAATTTTCATGACAACAATTGTTGCCCCAACTTAATTGGCTTGCAATTTGAAGCTTTGAAGATTCATATAATTTTCCTAAGATCATGACACTAATTACTGGAGAAGAATATGCAGAGCTGAGTCACAGGCAAGAAGGGGTCCTTCTTACAGTTGTAAGCTTTATTGTTTGCTTTGGAAGTTTATAGATAATGAATACCAGCCTAAAGCCATAATGTTTCAAGATGAGGTGTATTTTTTTAAGTTTTAAAGCACAGTTTTGATTTGTTTTTTTTTTTTTTTTTTTTTTTTTTTTTTTTTTTTTGTTTTTTAAAAAAAAAAAAAAAAAAAAAGGAGTGCAGATGAGATCGGGGAGATCAGGATGCTGAGGAACTACAGGCTCACAAAGTGTTATTTTGGATATCTGAGCATCAGGGGAAAGAATGAAATGGCAGAAACTTTGGCTTCATTCAGTAAAGTCTTGTATTTACTGAGTATCTTGAATCCAAAGGCAAAGACACAGTAGAGGGTAGCTGACTAGAGGCCTATATGGATAATTAGAGGCTAACTATGTGGCTAACTAAAAAGGGAAGACTTAAGGTGAGTGCACACATGAAGCCATTCCCTCTGTCACAGAAGACAGGTGACTAGGTAGGTAGCTAAATGTGCAGCATGCTATTTGGAGGGATCAGGAGTGGAGCCACCGTAATTTCCTATTGGCAACAGAAGAATTAAGTCGTGCAGTAGCTTGAGGTTTGGCACCAACGTAGATGAGAATATGTCAGATCATCCGAAATGGATATAAAAACTGATGGCCATTAAGCAAAGCTCCATCACAATTAGTACCTTGCTGCACATTTTTCTCAAAATCCATATGACACTGAGTGATTTTGTGAATGTTGAATGAGTACACCTGTGACTTCTGACAAGCATATCTCTGTGTTAGGGAGTACCAAGGTTCAGAAGAGTTATGTGTTCTAGAAATGCCTGATGGTTTCTTCTGAAAGGTCAAGTTTTAAACAAAATATGGATTTAGTAATTGTTGAGAACATAAATAATTGTTTGTTCAGGCTATGGCTAGAAGGCAAATGTCAAAATTAATTTCTCAAGGGTGGGGCTAAATTCGTGATACTCTGGGTGTTTACAAAAACAAAGCAAAGGAGGATGGGTGGAGATTAAGTTTGAGGAGGAGTGAGGTCAAGGGATCAGGTGTGGGATTGGTTTGGGTTTTGGAAACTACTTCTGAGGAATGGGAATTTTCAAGCTGAACAGTGAACCACACATTCAGGGGGACACAGTTCTGGGGTTGGAAAGCAGCCTATTTCAGGCCAAGGGCAGTTTGTTCATTCATCCATATGTTCCTTCAAAGCAGGGACCTTGAATTCTGTAAGAGGACCACTACTGTGGGTCCATACAGTGGGAGGAAGTGTAAAAGTCAATGCAGAAAACATAAAAACAAAGTCAAAAGCTTTGGAGTCTTACATATTTTCCCAGCTACATTTGGGGTACCCCAAGAAAGAACAGGATGGCTCATTAAAGGATGGAATAAGAGTTGAGTGAGATGTTCCTGGATCAGCTGTTTGGAGGAACATAAGAGAAACTGCATCACAGATGGGTATAATCCAGGGACAAAAGAACAGTATCCATAGCAGAAAACTGTTATAAGAAAATTAACATATATGAAGTAATTAGTTCTCAACCTGTGTTCTGTGAAATAGGTCACTTAAAACCTATGAGATAGGTACAAATAGTCACTTAGTTTCAGCTGAGATAAATACCAAGGCTTAAATGGTAGCAGTTTAAACCAAAGAATGATACATTATAATTCTTCTAATGTAGTGATTTTTAAGTGTATAGCAAGGAGGTAGATTGGGAGCTACACTGAACAGTGAAATAACAGAAGCAAAACAAACAGAGCCTAAGTAATCAGTGAGGAGAGCTGGTATTGCAAATGAGCAGCAGAGTGTGTGCAATCCTTCACATGTGATGGTCATCTGAAAGAGGAAGGGTCCCACTGTGAGAAACAGTCAGAGAATCAATGGTTTCTGCCCTGTCCTATACCCCTACATATGTAAATTACAAAATAAAGTGTCTTACTTCCTTGAGCTTTCTGTTTCCTCCACTTCTCCTGAGATTAACATTAAAATACATCCTTGGGGGCTGTAGATGTAGCTCAAGGGTAAAGCAGTTGCCTATTACACATGAAGTTCTGGGTTCCACGCCTAGCACTACACAGAAGAAAATCCTACCCCAGAAAACTAACGTGTAAATTGAAGCCTGGGGCTAAGGAGCAAAGCAAGGAAGGAGATGCTGGTACTGTACTATTTATTATATTCCCCCTTCTTATTGCTGTATCAGCACCTGCCCCCAGTCCCCAGAGCTCCTTCCCTTTGACACCCAAAAAGCATACCAGCTAAAACCTTAAGGTCTTCCTAGTATAATATTGAATCATGGTCATGCATTCAGCTGAGCCATCTATGGTCCACATTTTTTTTTCCTGCTTCTTTCATCAAATGTCCACCTCCTACTTTGGCTCTCTTTTCTTTCTTTCCCCTTCCTTGTCTTGACTTGATACAGTTTCCATCATGTCTTTGTGTGTTGGGGAATCAAGGTCTTAGAGAGCCGGACATTTGTATTCTGGTCTTGTGTGTGTCAGGGCTGTTTCCAATTGCTTATGGGAATAGGGAGTTTGCATAACCAAGGATCTTGTGTACTGCCTAAATTCAAT